TTTTAAAATATTTATTGTTAATTGTACTGTACATTCATTTTATGAAAAGTTTTAGCATTATTCTCTAAGGATATTATTTTGGATCAGCAATGACAAACATTTATCCAAAGCTGGGTCAAAATTGATTTCAATATTTAGTAAATCCAAATTGCGAGTAAAATATTTAATTTGAACAATTAAAAAAATACATAAAATTTGTACACATTATTTGTTAAGTGAAAAGAAAATAATGATGTAATTATAATGGGAAATAAATATTTTGTTTAATGCAAAAATTGTTGCTGTTTATTTGAAGATAATTATTGTTTTATATGAGGTTCATAATTAGTGACCTTTAAGAGTTTTCATAACAGTTTTAGGATCCTACTCTCACATTACATATAAATAAAATATTTGATAGATTTCAAAATTTTGCCTAATTTATAAAAATCTAATACTTTCTAACAGTTCAATGCAAATATCTTGAAATAATCATATAGTTCACAGTTTTCTGTTGCCATTCAACATACTTTCCTTTTTTATGTTTCTGCCATTTGCTATAACAATATATTTATATATAAAGTACAGTACATATTATTTGAGTTCCAATTAACCAAGACCTGATTAACCAAGGATCTACACTATTCAAGACAAGTTGTGAAGAATACTTTATTAACAAAGAGAAAAGAATATAATACAGTACATTTCATTTGATGAATTTTGGCCAGGTGATGTGTAATATTTAAAAAGAGTATTAGAAGATTTTAAAAGAATTTACTCTCGTGAATTTTTGTGACAATACGAATTTTAAAAATTTCAAGAATTTAGTTGTAATCTTATTTTTAATTAGGTAGTTGTAAATAAAATTTAAAGTGTTTTGTATAATTTATTATGTTCAATAATTAGGATAACATGGATTTAAATGCATCAACATGTATATACAGTAATACCCTGAACTTACGCGATAGGTGCGACTGAGTGATAACTGCGTAAGTCGGGGGTATAATTTCGCAGTTTGTGCAAAATCCAAGTCAGATGTATGTAAGCTAATAAATGTTCTCGCTAATTTTATCTCGTCTTTTGATTCATTCACGGTTACAAGAATTCACCACATAGAGTCTTTCAAGTCTCCGTAAATATAACAAACACAGAAATAAACAACACAAAATAAATTGTAGCTATGTGTCGATTCTGTGCGACACGTCCGAACATGTAAGCTGAACAATAGTGTGGGGGGTGAGTAATCAAGAGTTGCGTGGCGCTCAAACAAAAGACGAATCGATGAGATTTGAAAATCGTGTAACTCCGGGTTCGCGTAAGTCGAGGTATTACTGTATTCTACTTTTAAGTTAGCCAAGTTTTTGATTAACTGACAAGGCAAAACTACAAAACTTTTACATATTATGTCTGCTTATCTTTTTATGTAGATTGTGTTCAAGCATTTGTGCTAGTGGACCTTATTTAACAAGAATTAAGTGCCAATTTTCACCAACAATGATGGTGAATATTCTGCTCATGTAGAAATTATTATGCCACATTTACACCATTTTGTCAATCTCATGACATTTATTTTTTGTTGAGTCAAGAATTTTATTAAAAAATATACAGAATGCAAATGAAATGTTAGAGAAAGAAAGAAATAAGATGCAATTAAAATTCATTTACTTATGCATCACCAGTTAAGCGCCCACTTTTGCAAATATCAAATATGCATGGTTTTCCACAATATTAACAGTCTCATGAATTGCATTAAAAATGTTCACTAAATTGGCTTTTCTTTGACACAAATCTGTATATGTGAAAGAATAGTTTATATACTATGGGCACATTGCTGAAGACACATACGTTTCCTTTTACAATGATCACTATCATATACAATGTAGCAATATTAGAGATAACAGTGTGTGTTAATAAATAGTTTTGTATGATAATAAGCATGATTCTTATAATTTTACCAATTTTGGCACTTAATTTTTTATTAAATAAGACCCATTGGCACAAATTCTTGGACACATCTCTACTTATTTTTTTATGTAGATTAATGTGGTTACAATTTTCATTAAAGTCCATGATTCAAAGTTCATGGTTTTTCCTTGTGAGATGTGAACTAAAAATATTACATTGAATAACTGGGATTCTGCTGTATTCAGAACACAATCTTATTAGTTTGTTGATTCAAAATAGTTGTTTTTACTTGAAATTAATTTTAACTATTCTATTATTTGATTTCCCATAACCTTATTACTTACATCTATGAAACATAAAAAAGAAAACATTGCTGTTCTAAATGATTTGTAATACTAATAAAAAGCTATTACATATCATATTGATAGTTAAGAAACAAAGATGATTTAAAATTTAATATTATGATTGGAATAATTTGGACATCATAATAATTTTTAAATTTATTAATTAGTTGCTGCTACCTGAATTTAATTTTTCATATTTATTTTTATAGCAAATTTAGCACGTAAACAGCCATGGTATTTCTTTATTTTGCCAAAATATTGGAATTCATATAAAAAACAAAAAAGTAAGAAATTTTCTCCTGAATATCCTCTACCACTGAATCCAGCAATATTTATAGGTAATCAATATAGTTTTTAAGTTTCTCTAATCTACATTATTAAGTACTATTTATTTCACATATTTTTACTTTGATAGATAATCAATTGAAAGTAACACATAAAGATGAAAACTTATCTGGAACAACTGGCCAAATTGGAATATCTCTAAACAATTTGTATGTCATATATAATAAAAACAAGTCAAAGGAAAGAATTGCTGTTGCAGGTTTATCATTAGACTTATTTGAAGGACATATTACAACACTTTTAGGACAAAATGGAGCTGGAAAAACAACAACAATGTAAACAGTTAATTTTTAATTTCATGTGCAAAACAACAAACAGAAAGAATTATTATTTCTCATGTGTTAATAATGTGCATTTATTTTTATTTGATCAGCAATGTTTTGACCGGACAGCATCCTCCTACCAGCGGTGCAGTTTTTGTATATGGAAGAACAATACCAGAAGAATTTTCGGAAATCCAAAAACTTCTTGGTTATTGTCCACAGTACAATACTTTATTTGACAGGTGTGATGTTTTGAAATAAGTAAAAACAATTTGTTTTAATTTTATTATTAACAAATAAAATTCTTTATAATTAGAATGACTATTAGAGAACATCTTAAATTCTATGCTCAACTTAAAGGAATTCTTTGTGGTAAAAAACTCGAAAAAGACATCAATGAGTAAGCACATCATAAATAAAAATATTAATTTTTAATTTTGTACTAATTATATAAACTAAATACAATATATCTGTTATTTAGCATGCTGCAAAGTATGGGTTTATGGAATCAGCAAAATGAACAGTCACGCTACCTGTCTGGTGGAATGCGGCGACGTTTATGTGTGGCTTTGGCATTCATTGGTGGATCTAAGTTAATCATTTTAGATGAACCAACAAGCAGTGTTGATCCAGTAGCAAGACGTAATATATGGGATCTAATAATGAAATGTAGATATGGTAAATATGAATATTATAAACACATCTACTTAGTCTACCTAGCAATTCATGTTTTTAGTATGATATTAAATATTAAAAAGTCCAATTACTTTAATGATATCAACAAGTGTTTTTTAGTAATGAATAAATTTATGTACAATTCCTAATAGATTTTCTTTAATGTGCAGGAGACAGCAATGAAAATGTTTTAATGATACCATACATATATTAAAATATTACTATATAAAAACAGAAAAATGATGAAAATAAACAAATGATATATTGTTAAAAATAAGCTTGTATGATTAGTGATTTTTCCAAAAATTTTAGTACAAACTGTACAAATAGATATAACAAACAAACAGCATAGTTACTCTCTTCCATTTCTATAGCAAGACTTTTGTATTTTTCAAAAATTCACTCTGAAGAAATTCATAACACTTGCTATTATTCAATTGAGATATTGTAATGGATGCTAAAAAAATCCATTGTAGTAGGAATATGGTTTTTTTTTAAAAAATAAAATTTAAGTAAAGTGGTACCTCAGGATACGAAATTAATTCATTCCAAAACTGAGATCGTATCATGAAAATGTCGTAAGGTGAATCATTTTTCCCCCATATGATTACATGTAAAACCATATAATTCGTTCCAACACAAAAAGCACACTCAAATTAAAGCTAAGTAGTATATTGAAAAAAAATAACTTTAGTAAGGAAAACACTGAAAAGTGCATTTTGTAGTTGTAAATTTATAAATAACTATAATAGAATAATAATTGATAAAAAAAATGTAGTTATATTTGCACTTTACCTTTGAGGATAGACGTCGATGGAGGTATAAACTGGTGGCGGAGGAGAGGGAGAAGGGAAATGATACTAAAATTTAACATACATAACATAGTGTAACAATAACTTAAAAATAATTTAACACTAATTTTTTAACTTTTCTGTTTTATATATATTTTAAAATCTTTTATTCACTGCTTTTTGCTCTTTCCTTCACTTCCACCAGCACTTTCACTGGATACAGATTGCTTGGTAAAATATCTATCCAAAAAGGTTTGGCTTTGCCTACTTTTTAAAATGTTTCTAAAGCGACATAGGCAAATGTCATTACTCCGAGCAGCAATACGGCCAGTGTAAACTTTTTCGGGATGTTTCTTTTCAATAAAATCAGTCACTTTCTGATAATACCTCAAGATTTCCTTTATCGAGCGAGATCCTTCCACGACGAAGCAAACACACAGACTGAGACCAATGAACAGAAGTGAATAAAAAATGGCACTGCGAACTAATGTAACGTCGTATGGTGAGTTTTTGTTTGTACTGTGGAGCAAAATTATGTTCAAATTTCATGTTGTATCCTGAAAATTTCGTATGCTGGGACGTTCGTATCCTGAGGTACCACTGTAGTGCATTAAATATTTACAAATGATTTAATACAAAAACTTAATCATGATGATGATAATGTTTATGTTGCTCTTCAAGGCAAAATTATTCTTGAAAGAATTAATAACTCAGACTGTTATGAAATAAATAATAAATTAATCAAGTAATTCATATCTCTTCTGAAATATTAAAAATTATATTATTATGCATGTATTTCAACAATTTAGAAAGAATAAATATAGAATATATTTTGCATAAATACTTACATGATATAATTAATATGGTACAAAAGTTTCAAATACTTTGAATATTTTGTTGTGCAATATTATTTTATACTTGAGAATATATTTCAAGTAGAAAATTTATTTTTATTAAAATTTATATTCTAATTTAATTAACTGAAAGAATTCAATAATTTTTTCATTAAGGAAGAACAATTCTGCTTACAACTCACCATATGGATGAAGCAGATATTCTTAGTGATCGTGTTGCAATTATACATCGAGTAAGTATTTTTAAATTATTGAAGAGAATAAAGTATTTATGGGCCTTAGTGAGTAATTGATACTAAAGATCACCCAACTTCTATGTAAATTTATCTTTATACCTTGCCTTGGCATCATAACTTCAAAGAGGAGTATGGGAAGTATTTGAATCAGAATTACCAAGTGGATACAGCAAAAAAAAAAAAGTTATAAATTACTATTAATATCAATAAAAATTTCTATTTTAATTAACATAACAAATGACTTTTGACATCATGAACAGTGTTAGGGTGGGTTGATGCCCACATTAACATTGTCTAGATAAAAAATAAGAACAACAAATATGAAAATGAAAACTATATTAAGAGTTTAGTTATTTTAGCTTACTACTGTCATGTTTATCACAGTACTTGGATGGCATGGAATAGTGCAATTTTATTGGTCAGATAGACAGGAATTGATACTAATCCAAACTTTCACTGTAAGTAATAAGGCTATTATTAATTATAGCATAATAATAGCCCGATTAATTACAGCAAGAGTTTGGATTAGTATCAATACATCAGGCTTTGCGATGTTGATATATAGACAGGAATTGATGTTTTTCAACAAAAAATAGTCAGTTGTTGACTTCAACCTGCACAAGAAGATAATTTGAGACATCCAAATTTTTTCTAATGCTAACACTAACATACCATTCGCAGCTGAATTTGAAATGGTAATCAGCCAACCAATTAAATTCCATGAAAAATGAACAAATATTCAAACTCTGCAACCTCAAAAATCTCCAAAGACACTTTATGCATTTACTGGTAACTTTGTATTAAGTAACCATCTGGCTGGTCAGAATAGAAAGGGGGTCTGTTTGTTGCAAGCAGGAAGTAGAAGTTAATTTCACCAATAGTAGTCATTGACCTCCTTCCAGATGAGAGGATTATCCCCAGAAAGTTACATGCATTTGTTTATGTCAAAATGTATAAAGAACAAACTATCTAATAAATAAAGAAGAAAATTTGTTATCAGTGACTAAATGATATGTTTCAATATAAAAATAACAATAAATTATACATACTGTAATTTTACTAATAATTCAAATAATTCTAATTCAAATAACTAATCAAATAATTCTATTATTATTAAATAAGTATTTAATTTGAATTTATTTCTATTATTAATTGTTCTTTAGATCACTTTAAAAGCTTTTTTTTTTATCACCACAAGTAATATAGAGTTTGATATTTGAATGAAAATTATAATAAAACACCTGTATGGTATACTATAATAAATATTTCATTTATTATTATTAAAATGTCTCTAAGATGAATTATTACAATTATTATTGATGTTAATTCCTTCTCCCTAATATTCGGTATTATAATATATTATTGATTTAGACAATTTAAGTAAGATCACATAGCTGTACCTTTCTTAATTACTTCCTTAAATCCTGTAAGCAATAGAAGTTTCAATAATGTAATGTAATATTGAATATTAGGTTTAGAAGATTTATTAATATTTTGAAAAAAAAAAATGTAAGAGTAAATATTTTACTTAACAACATATCAGTCCACTATGGTTTGCAATTAAAATTATCACATATAGACAGACTAGAGCACCTTAGAATATTATATATAAACTTCAGTAAGCATACTTCTCTATGTATTTTTATTTGAGTATTAAACTTTTAGTTCTCAGACAGTTCAAAATTAATACATACAATATTCACAAAAATGATGATAAAGAGATAAAGAATGATAGAAAAATAACATTTTGTTAATATTATATATGTTGTGCAGATATAGAACCATAAGTGGCAAAGTGTGAAATCATAATTTTCAGTAAAAATAAATTTGAAAATTGGACCAACCAAAGGTATCAAATATTTTGGTGAGCAATCAGTCACCAAAAATTTCCATTTTATGTAATTATTTGATATATTTTACATCTGTTTTTGGTCTCAAATAGAACATATTTAAATTTTGCAATTTTTCAATAATATATTTGAGTTAGCCACTTATAGTTCTATACTCACAATACATACATAAACTGAATGGTCTTTTTTTTTATTTAGGGAAAACTCTTATGTTCTGGCTCTCCTCTGTTACTCAAAAGTAAATTTGGCTGTGGTTATCAATTAACTTTATCCAGACAAGGTTCAGATACAGACCGTGATAGTGATTCTGGAAGAGCTTCTTCTGCTTGTTCTGAAGGAGAAGGTAAAAATAAATTATTGGACTTATATAATGGAACATTTTAGACAATTATTACATGTTATATTTTTTTGAATTGTCTAAAGCCATTGGATTTGACACGGACGGACTGCTTAATTTTGTTCAAAGCATTATTCCAACTGCTACTCTCATGGAAGACCACGGAACTGAAGTTGTTTTAAGTTTGCCTCAAAGATCACCTGATGGAATGCCTTACAACTTTTCCAGCTTTTTTACAAATTTAGATTCCAATCTTAATCAGCTTGGATTTGGTAGTTATGGATTATCTAGTACTACTCTTGAAGAGGTGAGTTTTCTTCCTACTTCTTACAGTGTTTTGATAATATAAAATAAAAAATTATTGAAATCAGGATGTTTTTGTACTTTTCCTCATATCAATAAAATTAATTCTAGAGTTTTTAATTTCTTTAAAATTCATGTAATGCATCAACATTATTTTGCCTTCCATGGATTTTGAAGATCATTTATTTATAATAAAAAATTTATTTAACTTATTAGATTTAAAATAATCCAAAACTTTGTAAAAAACTCAGAGTCTCATTGCATATCTTTCCTTCTTATCATGATAGTGATTATAGTTATTTTTGATAGAATACCATGTATAAGCTCAAACTTCCATTTACTAAAAGTTATATTTCACATTTCAGTTAGCAACAGACTGTTTATTTGCTTAGAGTTAATGAAGAGACAGAATATGGGTGTAATTGAATGATTATAAGATTACAATGCTTTCAGTTGCTTTGCTAATTAATCTAAATTTATTCACTTCATTACTTTGAAAATCTTTTCTACCATCCTTCTGAAGCTATGATGTAATAATATGGAAATGCAGTAAAATAGCTTTTTACAAAAAATCACAAATAAAATTTGTTAATATTGGCAGATAGTGATTGGTATTTAACACATTTTATAATATCAAAATCATATGTTGACCAATATTTAATATTCCAGGACAGTTATTTTTATGCATTTAACTCTAATTTATTGATGACAAATGTGTACATATTTTTATACTTATGGCTTAAGCATTATCAATTTAATCCTCAGTGGATTTCTTATGCTTAGACCAGGTGTTGCTTTTTGGAGATTAGGAAATTAATTAGATTCACGCAACTGGTTATGTGACAAAGGAACAATGATTGCACAAAAGACAACACTGACTTGACTCGTAGGAGGTCAGTGCTGAAAAAAGGGATGAGTAAAACAAGGTCATCATCACCAACGATTTCCCATGCAGTCAACAGTGCCACCAACCTTTTATTATGCAACAAGAAAAATATTTACAAACATTACCATGACACAATTGCATTGTACATATCAATGTTACACAATATTTAACAATAACTTCGATTGTTGATTCCAACATCTTATTCTCTTGTTTACATAGTGAAAAGAGTGAGGGAAGTTGGTAACAGTCAGAACAATAAGAACACATTTCTATCCTCTGCTCTATATTGCAATTTTTAATTGTAAATAGTCCATTGAATATAAAAATATATTCCTATGGATTTAGCTGTATACAGTATAACTATGCATTTCATATATAAATGTGTTAATAAATTAAAAAACAAGTAAAATGGCAAAACTGTATTTGGGACAAGACTATATCTCGGAGACGGAATCACTTTGATGCTCAAGACAGGTCTCGTTCTCATTCTTCTATCTTCTTTGATATCGCTGCTTTTGGGCGCGATCATTCAAATTTCACCAGCCACAACCATAAGATCATCCATGATGTATCTTTGATGAAATTAACCTATCTAATTTCAAAATTTCTATCTGTTGCGTGTCGGCCTGGGTTGAATTTTTGTCGATGCGTAACGAAAAGTTCCCATTTTTGAAAAAAATAATCATGGCTATTGTATTGTCCGAAATTATTTTTTTATTTTGCACAAACAATATACAGTTTAACCCAATTATAATGTCATCAAATGTAACGACAATACTAATATAATGTCAAATTTTTATCAGTCCTACGATTTTACTATATTAGATAATGTTAAAAAACCCACTTGTAATGACATAAAATTGTTTTAATGTCATATTTGAAGCACTCCCAAATTTACAAAATTAGATTACAAATTTTATTTAACATAGAAGAAACTACATGTTCAGTTCTAAGGTCAGAGTTCACTTCTTAGAATGACTGTGGGTTACCGGAACTCTCTCCTATCTGACTTTGGTGGGGTGAGATGGCTGTTTTGCCTGTTTGTAGAAGAGGGTCGCCATTTTGGATCTTATTTTGACTCGATTCTCGGTCCCGACTACCTACGAGTCTGGATTTTTTTATGCGCAAATGTTTTGGGCACCTAATACTCTGTGCCAAATATCAACTCTTGACATGTACTCCTTCATACCTCTATGCTGGTAAGAACATTGGGAAGTACAATTTTATAAACAAGACATAGTCTTGTCAATAAGTATTTTTCAATTCAAATATTTGTAGAATAAATAAAGTTTGCAAATAAAATAATTTCAACCCTAACAATATCAATATAATTATATGCATAAATAATTTCTTTGTACTTTCCTTACTAAATTTATTTTGTTATTTTATTAGACTTTTTATTTAGAATTTACCAAAATGTAAAAATTGGAAACTTCTATTTATTATTTTGTATACTTCAGGTATTTCTTACACTTTGTCACTTGGAAGATACAAAACTTCAGCTAGCAACTCCAAATATTATTTCTAATCCAGTGCCATTACCTAAATCAACTCTTTCTAGATCAATAAGTGACACTGAAAAATATTGTCAATTCTCCAATAAATTAGGTAAGTTTTGTTTCTTGAAACATAATATAAAATTTGAATAAACTAAATTAATTTTAATAAAACTTTAAAACAATGTAGCACCAGATCTATCCGATTTAAGCATTAGTAATGATCCATGGTCTACTCAAAATCTAAATCTTGGAGGAAGCTATCAGTTAACAGGTGCAAAGTTAAAACTGCAACAGTTGGGAGCACTGTTAATGAAACGATGCTATCATACACTTCACGACTGGAAAGCAATTGTTTCCAGTATCCTCCTTCCTTGTGTTTTTATTGCCATAGCAATGGGATTTGCACTCATAAAACCTGAAGCTACTCCTGAACCAATGTTGTTATTGACTCCATCTATGCTTGGTCCTGGTGACGTCACTTTTATTGGGTAAGTCCTGGGTTTTTTTTAAGTCATATAATTTTGAAACATTTATAGAATGTTAAATTATGTTCTGAGGTGTGATCAAAAGAAACCAGACTTGACTATAAAGATTCAAATTAGTTAAGTATTAAAATCCAGCTGCCCTCTCCTGCATTAATAACCTGATCCTACAATTTCTGCCAAGCTTCAAGTGCTTCTTGGAAGTCACTATTTCAAACATTTGAAAGCACCTGTTGAGATTCACTCTGAATCTTGACCATATCAAAATGCTACTTTGACCTTCAATTTCATTTTGGAGAACAAAAATAAGTCACAAGAGGCTAAATATGATGAGCAAAGAGAGTGAGAGAAGCCTGTCATGTTACTTTTTTGGCAAAAATGCTCATGTTTTGAAGGGTGTTTGTGATATGATGGAGTCAGGTTAGATTGCACTACAGTTTTGGTCTTTTATGACAACCATCCTCCTAAATCGACTCAAACTGTAGCAGTAAAAATCTGAATTCACTATCTGACTGGGAGGAATAAATTTCTGGTACACAAACCCTTATACAGGTAGGCCTCCAACAACGCGGTACCTTTACAACGCGTTTTCGCTCCAATGCGGTTGGAAAAATGCGGAAATTTTCTTACAACGCGATTTACGGTATTTAGAAACGAATTATCTTCACATAACAGAAAAATCGCAACGGATCACTTTTAGCTCTGTATGCAGTTCGGCATACAGAGCTAAAAGTCTTTGAAAACAGCTGTTTGTGGACGTTAGCATGCTATTCCCTTGAAAGTTTCAGGGGAAGACCTTCAACAAAGAAAGTTAAGTACGGCTGTCTTATTTAGCAGAAGACTTAGCCCTGTTTTGAAGTTGAAAGAAGAGTTTAGTAAAGTAAGAAAAAGATGGAAGATGAAAGATAGAAGGATAGGACAGTGTGAAAAAGAGAGTACCATGGCACCCCCATGGAACCCCAGGGGCATCTGCATCGGCATTTACTTAAACAACATATGTACAAAAGTATAAAATACAGAGTGACAAATATATACATAATACAAAAGTGCAGAGTTACAATTTCCATGTGTCATTGCAACTTGCAATGACATTAAAGACAAGATGGCATTTTTAAACCGTACAGCAAATACATACTTTCCAATAAAAATGTTACATAGATTTAGTACTACTTTTGCCTTTTCCAGAGGAATATCTGGATTACAATTGATGAAATTGCTTATTTCAATCAGTTGCAAAAGTTTAACAATTTAATATTTTTGATGGTTCCAAATGGGTTACATAAGAGTTGACTTAATTAAATGAAGGTTTTGTTAAATTAAACAATGAATTTAGCAATATAAAATATTATACAATGTATTTAGGAAAGTATTGAGCCGTTTACCCTGTTTGTGTACCAAACATTGTACAATTAAGAATGGAGGGTATTAGCTGCCGTTAAACATATTTACATCTATATACCAATACAGTTTTTATGAAAATTATGTACACTAATTACAACACTAGTCGGCATTTAATTAACAATGATCTCAACACAAAGAATAGACATTTGAGATTCAAATGTTAACAATTTGTCACAGTTGAATATACAAATTAGCATTAATAACACAATAATTTTTAATTAGTCTGTGTTTGAACCCTCTTCTTCTGTTGAAGTCTCGCTGTCTTCATCTATCTCTTCCTCTGTTTCACTGTTGTCGGTTGAATTTCCATCAGTCTCTTCATCTTGTGTTTGTTGCGTTGTAGACTTGTTTTTTAACTTTTTTATTTGAATAGTGTCGGGGAGAAGAGCTTTAGTTTTTTCGATAAATTGCTCGAAACTCACCCATAGTTGCTTTTGGTTGAAAATGTCTTTGGGGTCAGGTGGCCAGGAACATCCGTGTTGTATACATTCTCTGTAAAACTGAAAACGTTGTTCTTCGAAAGTTTCACATTCATAGGCGAAGTGCATCGCATCTCCAACTGTAGTATTGTCGCATGAACACTTGTCACTGTTTATCTTTTTAATTCTATATAAGTAGGCTTTAAACTTCCCGTGGTTTGTTAAACACTGAGAGGTGTTGGGGTTTGGCTTATAATGTTTATTTTTAAGTCTATCGGTGATTGAGGGGATGTACTTGAAACATGTTCTGCCTGTAT